CTCACCCTCTGGCTTGCCGCAACTTTCTGGAGAAACTGATTTATGATGCCCCCTCCCCCGTAAATGGAATAGACTCGATGGAGAGAATATACGCATCGATTAGTCGTTTAGGCGAGTAGGATTATACTTATTAAATTGGAGCATCACGTTTTCTTAGCATTTTACGCGATCGCCTAATCGCCTACTCGCCCAATCGTCTTATCGCGTAACCGCGTGATCCGCCTACTCTGAGGAATATCCAAAAGGCTATTCTCCGTGTTTTTATTGACCGTGGCAAGAAATGAAATAAGTCTGGTTGTCACCTGTTGAACTACTCATCACTCTGCAGCGACTCGACGATCATTACTGATCCAGTGGCACCATGTCGTTTCCCCTTCGAGAAAGAAGGAGTTCGACCTCCCCTGAAGAGAAAAGTTTTTTTTTCATTTCTGGCGTCTCCAGTGGAATTTGTCTCTATCTGACAGGCTCCTTATTCCATACATCATAGACTCGAGCAGCAACAGTAGCATATCTCTGTAGGAAGTGAAAGTACAAGGCAACACAGCGATAATAAGTGCAGGTTAGCTTTACAACTGCCTACTAGCTACGCAACTCCAGCGGTCATTTCGCCTCTAGATGCCACGGTCTACAGATAAGCAGGATTTTGACTGGTCAGGAAGGCAGCACAGAAAATCGTCAGGCTTTTAATATTGAAGGCGGATTTTGCGATGAAAAAGCTGGCTTGGAAATAGGGTTAGAGATGACTAGTAAAACAAGAATGAAGGAAAAAATAGGGAAAATGGCCTGTAGTCCTAGAAATGGGACCCCTTCCTTGCCCGTTGATTTGCGCATTGATGCGACTCTCATCGTGCTGCCCTCTTCAACGCTAACGCTCTCTTCTGCTAAACACAGCTAGAGACTCAGCACGAGACGACGCGAGAGGGGGCGTGCCGCGCCAATAGCGCGTCAACTGCGCCGCACGGAAAGTCAAGATGGATCGCCGGGGCAAACCCTTTAATGAATTGCGCGTTGGTCTGCACCTTTGAGATGCCCACCAATCTCTCCACTAGGTGAGTGTCTCCTTCAACCTTCGTCCTTATCGTGGAATTTTCCTTTAAACATACTCGGGCGCACTCCTTGCTGTAATCTCAGCTTCCGCTTCTCCAGTCGGATTTGTCTCTGACAACAGAGCTCCAGAAGCAATGTCGAGCTCTCTTTGCTTTATTTCGTCGATCATGTTTCGAAGCATTTGCTCGATGAACTGCACACGGTCTGGATCAACATCATCGTAACCCCTGAAAGGTAGAAACACTCAAGCAGTCGTACACTTCTCAGGAAAATTTCTTGCCATTGCTTTCTCTGGCCTTTATCAAAAAACCAGTTTTGCTCCGCCCGCTATCGCGCGCATGTCAACATAGGCTTCTGTGAAACAGAGTATAGCCGGGCTGCGGTATATTAAGCATTTGCTTTAAGAATGCTAATAAGTCGCTAATAGCCACTAATGGCTATCACGTCTTCTATACAGATGGTGAATCAACAACTAAAAGCTATAGATATTACAAACCTGCTGATTTAATATATTTCACAGATTATTTGTTAAAAAACAGTTATTGCACATTTGGCAAATATATATTTAAACAAAACAAAGGAGTACCACAAGGAGGTAATTTCAGTCCACTGTTAGCTGATCTTACCCTCTCCGTCATGGAATACAATTATGCAATAAGGTGTAAGTTTAATAAAAATAAGTTATTCATTCCATTCAGATATATGGATGATTTGCTAGTAATACATAACCAAACCGAGGATAATATTGACATACATCTAGCAGAAGTGTACATGAATACACTTGAATTGAAAAAAAACACATTTAAGTGAAACATCTAGTAATTATAATTATCTGGATCTAACAATTAGTATAATAAATGACAGAGTTGTAACTAGATTGTATAACAAAACAGATGATTTTCAGTTCAAGGTCATCAGATTCCCACACAATGACACAAATATCTCCATAAACAATAAAGGCTCCGTCATATACACTGAAACACTTAGAATAGCTAACACTTGTTCCGTTTTTGACACATTTACTGATAAACTAACAGAATTCATAAGAGTGTTACTAGGAAATGGTTACCATGAGAACTTTATTATAACTAATATAGTTAAGTGCATTTATAAAAATAAGTTTATATGTTACAAATTTTCAATTGCTAATAATTATAAAAATATTAGTAAGTTAGTGGAAGGAATACTTCGTCACTAAAGTGCTATCTAATTGTTAGTGGAACAATTACAAACACCCACCTTTTACACTTTATAGTTTTACATTTTTAATCAACTTATTTTTCATTCATTTAGTCAATATACAATTCATTTCATTGCATGCTCCTCTGCATGAAAGTACGTTACATCAAGGTTTATTCGTCTTTCCCCTGTGTCTTTATTTCGCCAATCCCAACTCACTGATGAGCTCCGGGGATTGACGAAATAATAAGGTTCGTCTGAGGAAGGAGCGAAACGAACCGTATCTATTATTTTGTTTATAATGGTTTTTCTTTCTTATTGAGAAACATACTGCTTTCAAGATTTTACTGATGGTATTAAGGAAAGCAGATGATAAAGCAGTAATTTCTCATAGCTTCAATACCAATAAACATCCATCATTTTTCTAACTAACAAAGTCTAGCAGCCGAATGACCTTTGGATAACTAAATTACTTGGGCTGCTTATTATCACCCCTCACCGTAAACATCTACCATGCTTGGATACTGGGATAGTTTAGCGGTCTAATAACTTCTTTTACCGGTGATGCGATAGAATTACCAATTTATCGTATTTCCACAGACACCGACCATCTTAGGAAGCTCGGGCAGATTAGCGGTCGAATGGATCACGACTACATCGCAAAAAATGAGATGTTTTCTTATCCCACATCTGGATAAGAACTTCAGTACATTTGCTTTGTATCGCTCCTTATCAGCCCCTATCAGCCGTTATCACTTTCTGGTCCCCACCAAATATGTTCCCGTCCCACCCCCTATATCATATCTAAAATCAACTCCTGACGACTGCTGGTGACGCGTGCTATGAATTTCCGGTCAGACAGACAAACACACACATACACAACCGCTCAGCGGATTATATATAGTAGGATGATTCAGTGCACTCGGCCTCTTCTAGTAATCACAAAAGAAAATAAGCACAAAAGCATAGATAGGCTATGCAATGTGTTCGACACTATCGCGTGGTGGTCAGGTTTTATCAACATTTTCGCCCTTCCTTCAGGTCTTCCTTGTTTCTTTTGTTTTGTAGGCCATATTCCGCGGATTTCAAATCTATGCACAATAAACAAAAAATAATAAGTTGGTTAATTATTCTATTGGCCGTCTTCAGAACTGATTGAGTCTGGAAGGAGGCAAATGGCTGTCACTACAAGTATGCCAGGTAACCTATGTAAACTTATCAGGTCTCATTAAATTGCTCGCAGTCTAACGAGCTTCCTTACAACTTTATCAAAGCAACATGTGCCCACTGACGGAATGTGTTTGCCTTTCACTCAGCTTTTACCGTTCATCCTTATCTCTTTTACTAGACAAAATGGGTAACCTGTAGTGCGTTGTTATGTAGGTCAAGGCTTTGCTGGTAACAAAAAGTCCCCAGAAATAGGCGACCGTAGCCAGAAACCAAAATAATGCCACTGCAAGACCAGTAATGCCGCTACCTGACATCATAGAGAATCTGTAAACAATAGCGGAAAAGATAGTTTGAAAAACCGACACTGAACTACACTGCGACGCATAATTATAGTTCCACCTACAAATTTCCCAAAAACTTGAATCTGGGGATGTTTTTGAAAAAGGCTCTACAGACAAATTGTGACACATATAAACGCGAATCTGAATATTAACACGGAAATCCAGTTTGAGAAAGCAACAATTTTTTATCCTCATTTTTTTCGAAAATACCCGCTTTGCCTATGACGCAAAATCATAGTTCCACCTCATGTTTCTCCGCTGCATTTTGCTTTTACCCAATCAAATTTTGAAATTATTACCCATTCAAGTTCCTTAGCTTATAGCAAAGGCAAAACCGCTGTCAGACTTCCGTAAAAGGAAAATCCTAGCAAAAGAGACGCAGGAATTGTCGAAGTGTCAGCTCACGCTGGAATTTGTCGGGGTGACTTCATAACGAACAAATTTCTCAAGGATGCAACAGGATATAAGATACAACTTTATCCAACCGGGTACGGAAATCAAAACTTCTTCAAAAGTTAGTGTCTCAATGGAAGCAGTTTCACGTGTTTTACAACACGCTCGTGACAGTCCATGTCTGGAAATAAGAAATACGCTTTTGTGAAAAGAAATCAGAGAAAAACGAGCCATTTTTCTTAGAAAGTTTCGCCAAGTCGAGTGAAGCGGTGACATTCTTTCATTTGTGATTTTTGATTTGCGTCTTTCTTTCTCTTAACGTTTTTCTTTCTCAGATCGGTTTTCTACTTCGTAGCAAACATGTATGGAGAAGAAAATGATCAGGAGTATGGTCAGAGGTTCCAAATATCACAGATAAAAAAGTGTCCTCACTTGCTCTACTTAGCAAAACTTTTTGAGGAAAATGGCTCGTTTTTCTCTCTGATTTCTTTTCACAAAAAGCGTATTTCTTATCTTCCAGACATGGACTGTCACGAGCGTGTTGTAAAACACGTGAAACTGCTTCCATTGAGACACTAACTTTTGAAGAAGTTTTGATTTCCGTACCCGGCTGGATAAAGTTTTCTCACGATACGGCGCTTATCTCGGTCGGATAGTAATCAGGGTTCCTCCCAGTATCATATCCTGTAGCATCCTTGAGAAATTTGTTCGTTATGAAGTCACCCCGACAAATTCCAGCGTGAGCTGACACTTTGACAATTCCTGCGTCTCTTTTGCTAGGATTTCCTTTTACGGAAGTTGACAGCGGTTTTGCCTTTGCTATAAGCTAAGGAACTTGAATGGGTAATAATTTCAAAATTTGATTGGGTAAAAGCAAAATGCAGCGGAGAAACATGAGGTGGAACTATGATTTTGCGTCATAGGCAAAGCGGGTATTTTCGAAAAAATGAGGATAAAAAATTGTTGCTTTCTCAAACTGGATTTCCGTGTTAATATTCAGATTCGCATTTATATGTGTCACAATTTGTCTGTAGAGCCTTTTCAAAAACATCCCCAGATTCAAGTTTTTGGGAAATTTGTAGGTGGAATTATGCGTCGCAGTGTAGCTGCGTGACTCACACCATCCATGTTATAGACCACAGCACTATTACAGTTAATCTTGTATTATAGATGACGAGCAGGTTCGCCCGTTCCTGAAAGTGTACGTAATTTAAGTGAAGCCCCGTAATCAAGCACACATCGAGGACATCTGCAGCGAAAGTTTTGGCGAGAACAAATTTTTACCGCACTAAGCTAGTTGTTAGTTATTTGTTAGATTGGTCCATATTAGTGTAGTTTTCTTTTTTCTTTGGACGGAAACTTTTCGGATTTCCCATGTTTTTACATAACATTATATTGCATTCAGAAGAGATTTCTACAGAACATTATGTTTGAGTTCCACATCCCTTAGAAAAATGAACTTCAGGCCACCAAAAATGGAGGTCCAGTCGGTGAAACTTCGCCAAAGTGACAACTATCTTTAAAGGAATCTTCTCCGGAAAAATCATGATTCCATCACTATAAATCACTGGCTTGAGATAACAGATCATTGAGTTTACAGTAGACGGTTTCCAGCTTGACGGTGATGGCAGATGACGTCATATTTTGAGGAAGGTGAAGGCAAGAAGAAGGGCCTGTCTGTGCTACTGGGGGTTTGACGAACATTTTGTTGTTCACCAACAACGGCACCTAATGCGGGATACATGTGAATCGAAGACTCTTTTTCATAAAACTTTACTGATAACGTTTCGGGCCTAAGCCCTTCTTCAGATCAACTGAAAAACATTGCACAAT